TAACCGACTGAGCCCCCCCCAGACGCCCCCTAAAAACACAGTCTTTATCAGTGCAACACTCTACACCCAAGCCGCTAGGCGCTTCTGACTGAACTTGGCCAGAGGCCTTGGCTCCAAGCAGCTCCATCCGAGGGTCGGCAGGGAGGCCAGTCCCTACGCTCAACACACGCATCGGGCCCGAGAGCACCGCACTCCGTGCCTAATCACGCCGGCTCCCCTTCCGGCCCTCCCTGCTGCCCACGCCCCCTTTTCTTCCCACAGACAATTTATTCTGCCTTTAACCTTCAGCCCAGCTCGGGAACCACCTTCCCCCAAATCTGTCCTCAACCACTTGGATCCGGAACTGTCTTCTCTGCCACCCTGAGGCACAGACGTTAGCATTCTCCTATCTGTTTCTAGACTGTTAATTCTCCCTTCTCAATGAGACCGCAAGGTTTTGGAGGGCAAGAGACTAGGGACTACACTGCTCTTTACCTAACAGCATCCAGCATAATGTTGGGAACACAGGAGCCATGAAAATTGTTCATAGATTAGTAATTAATTTTTATTAACCTTCCTAATAAAAAAATCCCATCGTTGTTATTGCAGACTGTAAACTTCAAATGTCCGTTAATAAACACTGTCCAAAACGCCATGCCCTTCGCTTCGCCATCAAAAGACACAATTAAGAGCTGCTTCAGACTTTCTGGAAGGTGAGTGCCCTTTCCTGGCCCACTGGAACCATGAAATAAAGTGACTACAGTGGACTGATTATCCTCCATGGACCCGAGCCCCAGTCAAACCCCCCTCCCTCAGGGTCTCCCCCCTACAGTTGTGCAGGCACCGGACGAGAGGGTTTGCCTTTCTCCAAGCGAGGGCAGCGTTACCTTGTTCAGGAGTTCTGTTCCGCCCTCATTTAGTGGAGCAAGCTTTGGCTTCAGGGTATCTAGGATGGGCTGACACAAAAGAAAGAAACCAAACCAAAATCACCACAGAAGAAATCACATGTAATCACTCAACATTTGCACTTTCTTTTTAAAAACATTTTTAAGTTTATTTATTTATTTTTGAGAGAGAGAGTGGGAGGGGCAGAGAGAGAGAGAGAGAGAGAGAGAGAGGATCCCAAGCAGGCTCCACAGCATCAACACCGAGCCTGAGGTGGGGCTCAAACTCATTACCACGAGACCATGACCTGAGCCAAAGTCGGACGCTCAACTGACTGAGCCACCCAGGCGCCCCTCGACATTGCACTTTCTAAGTGGAAAACACCGTGTAAACATATCCACTGGATGTCAGCTCCACAGGGTGGGTAGGGGTTTTTGTCGGTTTGGTTCTCTGCTACATCCCGTGACTACGACAGTGCCTGGCCCACAGCGCCCAAACACATCAGAAATGCACATGAAACCCACCCTCCCCAAATCCTTTAAAGAGCTACAGACGGAAGGGAAAGGCGGGAAGAAAGGAAGAAGGGAAGGTGCTCGAAGCCAGAGCGGATAGAGGTCCCAGCCTCTGCGGACAGGAATTTTCACCTGTTTCAAGGAGTTGAAACAGATGTGCGCAGGAGCCCGGGTCTGGGAAAAGTGCACGAGTGCAGCTACCCCACAGGCGAAGGAGAACTTGGCCCAAGTTCCCTGGCAGTTTGGCGATGCGCATTAACAAGTGAATCCATGCCCTCTGACCCGGAAACGCGCTCCGGGGGAATAAGTGGCAAATTGATTTGTAAGGAAGGGTATGGCGTATGTCCGTGGATTCAGCTCGGCAGTATCCTTCTATCAGGCGCCAGGGAGCGTTCGGGGTGCGGCTGGTTAAGGGCTCGTGGCAAATACCGAGAATGAGTGAAAAGAGAAGTAGGTCACTAGTCACTACTAGGGTCATCTCCACTGGACAGAGGAGCACAACAGGGCCCGGCTGACTCAGGCAACCCGCTCAAGGTCACTCGGGGAGAGAGCCAGAGCCGGGACGAATGCCCGTGCTCTGTACCATCTGGGCGAAGAGCTTATATGGCAGGGAGCAGGGTGGACGGCAGGGATTCCGTGTGTGTGTGGGGGGGGGGGGGGGGGGAGACAGAAGCAAGTGTTCACAGTTACTTTTTCCAAAGCTCTCTTTCTTTTGCCTGAAAACAGGAATGTTTGAATTCTGCTCTTGAACTAAACACGTTCCTTTGAGGGTTTGCACTTGCACCTCTGAACCGCTCTGAGCACCTCGAGGATACTAAACGCCGGCCACTAGGGTGTGGGCTTAGGACGACGCGAAATTACCTTTTTATTCGAAGACGTAAATTCTGCTTTTTCGAATTCTGCAACTTGTTCTAATAATTCTCTGGAAGATACAAATGTGAAAAAAAATCCATTTAAAATAGATTTGCATCCCAGACACAGAAGAATAAAACCACTGGCACCGATCTCCCACAACACGCCGGAGAGAACAGAGCACCCTGTCGAAAATGATTCCTAGTTACCAATGGCCCAGAGCCCCACCCAGGGACCGGATTTGAATATTCCACGGCACCTAGGATCGTGCGCCTACTGAGCATACGCTCTAATCGCCAGAACGAAACTACAGTGTTAGTTCAAATCTGGCACAACTTGCCCTCAATTCCGTATTTCTGAGGTGTTAGAGGGAGACTGCTCTCCGACATGATTTACATCGAGCGTTAGCTAGTGAATGTTCAAGAAACGCAGACTGGCTCTCAGAGAGTAAGCAGCCTCGGAGACATGGGATTAGTTCGTGATACCTACTGAAAAAAAGAGTATCACCCCTACTGGGAAGGAATATGCTGTACCTCTGAGGAAGAAAGCCGGTTCGGGAATGAACCAACCACCTGACTGTTCCCTTTCCCTGCCCCGGTGTGGTCCCAGTCTGGATCCCGGGGGTGGCCCACGCGGGCGCCTGGGAGGGGACGTGGTACCCGCTCTCCCAGGCTTACTGTGGCGCTTTCTCCAAGTTTTCTCAGCAGCTCTCCCTGGCGGCCAGTGGACTGAACCGGTTTTCCTGCCCGGTTCAGGAAGGCCATCCCAGGGTGGTTCACCAATCTCTGCCGCCGTGCCTGGGGGCGGTCAGTCTTTCCTCATTTCTGGCCCGGCTTCTCTTAGACTAAGTTTGAATTTCATTTTACTTTTTTTTTTTTTTTCTAGTTTTGAATTTTTTTTCACGTTTATTCATTTTTGAGAGACAGAGACAGAGCAAGAGAGGAAGGGGCAGAAAGAGAGGGAGACACAGAATCCGAAGCAGACTCCAGGCTCCGAGCTGTCAGCACAGAGCCCGATGCGGGGCTTGAACCCACGGACCATGAGATCATGACCTGAGCAGAAGTCGGATGCTTAACCGACTGAGCCACCCAGGCACCCCTACTTTATTTGTTGTTGTTAATGTTTATTTATTAATTTTAAGAGAGAAAGAGAATGAGGGTGTGCATGTGCGAGTGGGGAGGTGGGTAGGAGCAGAGAGGGAGAAAGAGACACATGACAGAGAGAGAGAGAGAGAGACAGACAGACAGACAGACAGACAAAGAGAGAGACCGAGAGAGACAAAGAGAGAGACCGAGAGAGACAGAGAATCCCAAGCAGATTCTTGTCAGTGCAGAGCCTGACGTGGGGCTCGAACCCATGAATTGTGAGATCATGACTGAGCTGAAAACAAGAGTCAGATGCTTGACCGACTGAGTCACCCAGGCACCCCCTCATTTTACCTTGTTTAAATTAATGAGCTCTTTGATACCTTCGAGATTACAAAACAGTTTTGTTTTTTGTTTACATTTCCTATTTTAAAGTAAGTGTGTAACTTTAAAATGTAATTATAGAAAAAACTGCAATCCTCCCGGTCTGAATTGACGGTATTCGAATTCATCTTTCAGTTGTTTCATAATCTTCATCCCCTCATCGACCTATTATGTCTAAAGACTCATTATAATACAATGCGACCAACAAAGAAATGGGCAGGGATCATTAGTAACAGCCCAAAAAGCAATTCCATGAATCTCAAACGCCTCTATAACACCCGGGATTTGGAGAAACAGAATTCTGAAGGGGACACCGAGCGGCACCTAAGAGATCACTCGGTGGGTACCCAGAGGCCGTCCTGCTGCCCACCCCACGCTTCCTCAGGCCCCAGCCCTGAGAGCAGAAGCGGCGCAGACGTTCGCTAACTTCTGAGACCGTGCTGGGGCCTCTACCGTCCCAGCCGCAGAGACGAATGTGTCACCTGTTTTCAAGTTCCGAGATGTCCGTCTGCAGCTTGAGGTACCACTTCTCGGCTTGGGAGAAGAGCTGCCGCAGGAGTAACACGTTGGTGTGCGCCGTGTTGATGAGCTCAGACTCCACCTCGCTGTAGACCACGGCCTGCAGCCCGCTCAGGACCTCGGACACCTCGTCCACGGTGAAGGTCTCCTCCACTAGCCTGCGGAACAACCACAGTCCCAGACTTCCGGATGAACGACCCAAACCGTTTGCAAAACAAAACAAGACTAAGAGACCCACATTCGGGTCAACCGAGGGGGTGACGGGGTTATTGGGAAAATCTCTTCGGGAACGATCTTCTTTATGAATAAACCGTACTGAAGATACCTGAAGCTCAGTTCACTTTTGGTGTCCGTCTGAACGACCCAATCGCGGGTGTACATGCCCTCTAATACAAAGTAGGTGCTCAGAAACATTCCCCCAAACGTTTACTTTTTTCTTTACGTTCTCGGTTGAAACATTTTTTTATTTTAATCTCCGCCACAATCAGTCTTCTCACATTTAGCAGTTTCAAGAGTCCCCTAGAAGGTAGTGTTTTTCCTTTCCTTTCCCTTCGTCTAGCATTTCAATAATTGTATGAACTACTCCAATGGTAGCAAATGATTATAAGAAAATAGTTATGTGCCGCTTCTCTTGGCATTCCTTTTTTTTTAAGTTTATTTATTTATTTTGAGAGAGCCAGAGACAGCGTGAGCAGGGGAGGGGCAGAGAGAGAGGCAGAGACAGTGTGAGCAGGGGAGGGGCAGAGAGAGAGGCAGAGAGAATCCCAAGCAGGCTCTGCACTGTCAGCGCAGCCTCCGACACGGGGCTTCAACTCACGAGACCTCGAGATCACGACCTGAGCCGAAGCCGAGAGTTGGACGCGTAGCTGACTGAGCCACCCAGGCACCCCTTTCTCTTGGCATTCTTGAGGCCCAAATGAAAAACACAACAAAAAACAACTAACTTATCTTAGGTGCAGCTCCTCTGAGCACTGACCATTCCCTAAAAAGGAAGCCATCATCAACAACAGCATTAAAACCCACTCTCCCACGGGGAAGGTTTAGGTTGGGAGGGACCTCAGAGCCATTTTCTTCAACCCCCTGGCGTTCCAGATGGGGGCGGGGGGATGCAGGCTCAGAGGGCAGGGGTGACATGGCCCTGGTCCCACGGTGGGGGTGACTCAAGCCCACAATCATTTCCGGGAGTCTCAGCAACATGCCCAACAGCCGAATCCCGAAAAAGCTCCTAATTTAAAGGACAGTTTGACAGTTAAGACCGTCTCTCCCCTCCTGGCCCCAACCCTCAGCCGCTCAGGGGACAGGAGTGATGGCCCCATCACTCCTCACTTCCAAAAGGACAGAATTAAGAGCCCACCAGTTTGACCAGAGTTATACTCAAGTTAGTAGTATTTGTTACCATTCTTCAATGTTTCATTTGGCCAGAATGAGCCAGTCTAAAAAAACCACAACTTCAACTATTTTGGGGGAACACCCTTATTCAATACATCAACCATCTTCCTCTACTCTTTAGTAGAACAAACCAAATCTGCTTCCACTTTTTTTTTTTTTGGCAACCCAAGTTCATGGTTATGAACAGCAATTAAGGCACTCGCTGTATAAAGTGAGGGATGAAGTATCTTCCGTGGCTCACAGCCGGGCCAGTGCAATTGTTGCTTTCATCTGCTGGGGGTCAGGAGACCAGCTGACCAGGTTACATCGGTGGGTCGAACACGTAACGGTCTACAGCTGGTGGCGTCCCCTATCGTGTGCCGCGCGTGGCTTTGCGACACGTGTGGCTCACGCGGAGGCCTTTCTCATTTCCATCTCATCTGACATTTAACCGTGCCAAAGTCTGATCCCCGAGGAATGTGGGGTCTCTTTACTACTTAGTCCTTTCCTTTCATTGGTTTCCCTATGTTTCTCCAGACCAAACACGAATTTTCCACGGACTTTAATTACATCCCGCGACAGGCTCAACCACACTAATGATCATCTCTTGCCGTACACCCACGAACAGTGTCGGTACCAGCGCAAGCTTTCTGTGGTTTCCTGCCGTTTCCCCCCCTCCCAGGTCTTCAGTATCAACGGCACAGGCGTCTTCTTGCTAACTGCCACGCCTCACGGCTCGAATCCTTTCATTAACAGCTCAGGGAATCCAAGTTCTGGGATCTTTAATACAGCGAGGCAATCATTAACCTACAAGCACTTCGCCATTTCCTGACGGCCCTTTCGAAACTTTGCAATCTCATCATTATCCTATGTGTACGTTTGGTAACAGATTGCTCCCCCCACAACCCGGTTTCCCGAATTTCACCTATCCACGGGGCGTGGTGGAGTCACTCTCAGGGGGGACCCGATCATGATAATCCCGGCAAGGGTTCGTATGGCCTCCGCAGCCATATCCCCACACCGGATACCGGAGAGGATCCGGGTTTCCCCTGGGGTTCCCTTTGAGTCCTCTGATACCTGCTCTCCTTGAGGTCTTGGAAGCAGGAATCGACAGTTTTGAGTCTCAAGCCTCTTCTGGAACGAGCAAAACGCATGTAGTTAATAACTTCGTTTTGATGGTGTTCATTTAGGCCCAACTCTGCCTAAAAGAGAGAAAAGCAGATGTTAGTCTTGGAGGTGTGACGAAGGAACCAACGATGAAGATACAGAAGGGACCGCCACATGTCCACCAAATTCCACTCTTCCCTTCCTCCCGGGGAAATGGCTGCCCAACTGGAGGACGCTTCCCAGCCCTTCCTGTGGCCACTCGATTGCTGCTCAGTACTGGATGTGAGCGGAAGAGGTGAAGCCTACTCCAGAGCATGGGCCTTCCGACAGGGTCGGGTCTTTGCCGCACCTATTTCCCTGAGACCTGGAGCGGGGGGGCCGGGCGGGGGGGCTCAGCTGAACCTCACAGACAGTGCTCTGGGGGTTGGGTGGACAGCACGATGAAAGGGACCCTTATCCTGACCCAATGTTGTAGAGCAGCACGGACCTATAGACCTAGATGAGCAGGGAAACGGCTGCTAAGTGAGAAACACACTTAGGTATTCTTGAAGCCACTGTTTTTTTGTTTGTTTGTTTTGATATATATGATAGCAACCTAACCTTACCCTGGCTAATGCAGCTTTAAGAAATGTACTGGGTTTTTGAAATAGTCATGAAGTGGTCTTTATTTTAAACCAGCTGAGAGCTGGACAACTATGAGCTAGAAATTAGCGAAGTTTTTTGTTTTTGTTTTTTTTTCAGTTTATAGCCACGCTGAAAAGAAAAGGATACTACACAATTGAATATCTAATGTAGGGACTCTATGAGTCAGGAACGATCTTTATTTTAAGAACAATGATCTACCATGGCCTTCCTGTGGGAGACTAAGGTCTAACTTCCGAGCCTCTGTCTGAGACTTGTCACCCTCTCCACAGTGTTGGAAGCAAACACCAAGGCCATCGGGCATGATCTCCTTCAGCCCCCAGTCCCTCACGGTGGCTTTTCTGCATCCACACGGCTCCCCTCTGCAGTCTCAACTTTCTTAGGACGAGGGTCTCTGAAGGTCAGGACCTTGCCCACCTGGTTCCCTAAGGTACCCCCATCCCCGGTACTAAGCACGGGGCCTCACAAGCAACAGACAGGTGGCAACAAATGAACTTAAAGAGCTTTCCTCCTTTTGAAGGTCACTTCTTCATCGGGCCTTAATCAGTTCTTTCAAACTCCTGGAGGACTTTATTTAACCAATTATTCCCCCATCTCAACATTCCATGGGTTTCTTCCCCCCTTCAGACTACAGGGAAGACTATACATATAAACCTTATTCAAAACCACACAAAACCCCTCAACCCTGAGATTCCCTTTAACTACCCTTGCACCCCCCACCCCTTCTACCCTTGCTATGCCATCACCTAGCCCTTAAACCTATACCTGCTCAAATTGCTTTTGTAAAGCTCACCAGCAACTTTTTTTTCTTTTCTTTTTCTTTTTTTCTTTCTTCTTCTTTTTTTTTTTTTTTTTTAGAATTACCGGGGTCTTTTATTTATTTATTTAGAAAACTTTTTAAATTTGGGGCGCGCCTAGGTGGCTCAGTCGGTTAAGCATCCGACATCGCCCCACAGTGGGCTCTGTGCTGACAGCTCAGGGGCTGGAGCCTCCTTCAGATTCTGTGTCTCCCTCCCTCCCTGCCCCTCCCCCAAGAGAGACTCTGTCTCTCAAAAATAAATAAAACATTAAAAAAATTTTCTTTTAATTTGAGTACAGCTGACACACAATGTTACACTCGTTTCACTGCCGAGGTATTTCAGTGGCCCATGGCAATGGTGCCCCCCAACTCTGGCATCATGCTTTCTTCCGAACCTAACTTTAGGACTGTGCCTTGTTCTAAGTACGACTGCCATGCCATATCCGCTGGAAAGAGGAATGGATCTGTTTCTGCATACAGGCCTGGCCTCTTCGGAACAAGTCAAAACAAAAGAAGTTACACCACCCCAGTTCCTTCAGCTGTACAATGGAGGGCTTGGACTCTTAAAGTCGCTCTCGCATCCGAAAGTTGGATTCCATCACGCTCTCGCTCCTCAACTCGTTGCAGTACACACCTGTTCCTGCCATCAAAGGGGTGTGCGTGTGAAAACTTAGGAGTTTTAGGACCGGAGCGAGAATCCCGCCCTGCGCCGTGGGCTGGCAGCCGTTCCCCGCAGCTCCCCCGACCTTGGAGATGTGACTGGGCCAGGCCCGCCCAGGTAGGGGTGAGGCCTGACCCGACGCGGGGAGAGAGGCGGCCAGTACGCCGAAGGGGCTTGGGCCTTGGTTAACGGAGCCTCGGCGGCCGGGAGGCCCAGGGGCCCGACTGGGTCCGGCGGCAGCCACGCCCTCCCTCGGCCCCGGCTCGGCGTCTCCTCCGCGCGGGGCGGCGGCGCCCGGCCGGCTACTCACCATGGCGGCGGCGGGGGTCGCAGCCCGGAGGAGCGGGAGAGGCCAGGCGGAGCTCCGTCAAGCGCGGGGATCGCCGAGGGTGGCTGGGCCGCAGAAGATGCGGAGGGCGGGCAGCTTGTTTGGAAGCCTCCGGTTGCTAATGGGAACGGAGACACGTGACCCCAAGTGATGCACTTTTATTGGCCCTCGAGATCACGCGACAGGAAGTGCCGCGTGACCCGCTGACTGCCGCATGCGCATTGGCTTCCAGAGCCCGGAAGTCCCACCTACTCGCGCCACGCCGACTCCGGCGGCCTGTGCCGTTGCCAATGGTAACGGGAGCGGAGAGGCCGCCAGGACCCCCAAGGTCGGGCGCGCCCCCCCCCCCCCCCCGTCCTCCCAGACCCCCGGCCACGGAGCCTCGGGTTGCAGGGAAGGGCTGGCGCGCTCTTCCCGGGCTTGGTGATGCCGAGGGCGGTGGCTTGGACGTCTGACTCCCCACCTTTCAGTGGCCTCAGGGGGCCTGGCGTGGGCGCCCAGGACTGACTTCTTGTCTCTCCAGGGGACCCTGCGTGGCTGGGTTAGGCCGGCAGCCCCAGCGCTGCCAGGTGCCAGGATAGAGCTTTGAACGGCCGTCTCCCCGCCACGCTCATCCCCCCCCCCCCCCCCCCCCGCCCAGTCCTGGTGAAACTAATACCACCTTTATCGTTAACAAATAAGCGCAAAAAGATTGATGACAGAGCAGCAAATTTCAAACTGTTATGCCTAGAATCACCAGGGAAGCTTGCTGAACAAATGCTTCCCAGGTCTCACCGCTAGAAAGTGGGAGTCAGGAAGTCTAGCTTGGGGGCTTGGAATCTGCAGTTTTTATCGCATAGGAGTGGTCGGGCACCACGCTTTAAGAAACGCTGTCCTAAATCATCAAGGAAATGCAAATCAAAACCGCAAGGAGGTAACACCTCACATCTGTCCGAGTGGCTAGTCCAGTGACAGATACCAAGCGTTGGCCAGGATGGGGAGAAAAAGAAACCCTCGTGCACTGTTGGTGGGAGCATAAATTGGTACACGGTGCCCTGTGAAAAACAGTGTGGGGGTTACTCAAAAATTAAAGACAAATATCCTATGAGCCAGTGATTCCACCGTTGGGTATTACCCAGAGAAAGCCAAAACATTAATTCCAAAAGATATATGCACTCCTGTGTTTATTGCAGCATTATTTACAATAGCCAAGATATAGAAGCAACCCAGTGTCCGCCAATAGATGAATGGATAAAGATAATATGGTACACACATACATATGCGCACTGGAATATTATGCAACCATAAAAAATGACAAGATTTTGTCATTTGGGACAACATGGATGGACCGACAGGGTATTAGGTATGCTAAGTGAAATAAACCACAAGAGAAAGACATAATGCGTAGTATTACTTACATGGAGAATTGGGGAGAAAAAGAAACTCCTAGAAACAGAGTAGAAAAGTGCTTGGCGGGGGCTGGGAGGTGGGGGAAAATAAGGAGATGCTGGCAAAAGGGTACAAACTTTCATTTATAAAACGAGTAAGTTCCGAGGATCTAACGTATAACACGTTAACATGGGGACTATAGTTGATAACACTGCATTGGATCATTGGAATTTGCTAGAGTGGAGCTTAAGTGTTCTCACCAAGAAGAAAGAGAGGAAGAGAAAGAGGAAGAGGAAGAAGAAGAAAAGAAAGAAAAATAAAGTAAATGTGTGAGGTGACGAGGTGGCCTTGTTGGTTCATTCAAAGAAGGGAATCCTTTTCAATGCATATGTATAACAAATTATCAAGTTGCACACTAAATATATTAGAATTTTCTTTGTCAGTTTTACCTTAGAAAAGCTGAAAGAAAGAGAAAGAAAGGGAGAAAGGAAGAGAAAGAATCTGGGGGACTTAAAACAGAGGAGAGTCCAGAAAGGATTTGACACTCCTGCTTCTATCTGCTTAATCTATGGATACAGAGATGGAGAGCAAAGGCCATGTGTCCAAGTCCTCAGAGGGCTAGGTGGAGGCGTCTGGAGTGGGAGTCTGTGATAAAGCTAATACAAATATGTTTTCAGGAGAAAAACCAGAGGGCAGGTGTGAACTATTCTGGCCCGGGAGGTGTTAAATCATATT